ACGTCACTGCTTCAAATCGTAAGTGCTTGTTAAATCCAACTTCTGCGCCAAGCACTTTAATGAATCACGGAGGAAATAAAAAAAAAATCAAAGAGTGAACTCAGACAAAAGGAATACAATATAAAATGTCACTTATTTTTATTCTTTAATAAAAACAAATTTCATATTTTGAGGCATGATTACAAATGTTACTAAAAAAAATGATAAAACAACTTTACAGTAATACATATTCCCAACAAACACATCCTGAGAAATTATACACACATGCCACCAACTACCTCTTACGCTGGGTATCATTGCACCGACATTTGTCTGATGGATCATTTTTAATGACAATTCGCTGTCGACAATCAGTAGGTTACTGTGTGACTTCTTCTAGCCATCAGAGAACAGAAAAAGATTTGTAGTTCGAATGCAGTGCGTACGGCAAATTTTTTTCCATTCGATGCAGTGCGTGACTGACTTTTAAAGAGCAGCATCAGAATGAACAAATTAATTTGATGGAATGTAAATGTTGGAATGTAATACAACAATTTTTTTCTTCTGTAAAATAGATAAAGAATCATTTATATCTATGTACTACAACATTACTTTAAATATCAACAGACATTATTTTGGTATTAAAGAAACCACTAAAATTTAAGTAAAACTACACATTCAGAGGAAACCAATTTAAGCACATTACCAAAGGAAACTATAGAGTAATAATAATGATATTAAACATTATAATAAATATCATAACAATAATAGAAAAAAAATTACAAAACTACAGTATAAAATTAATTTAATGAAAAAATGAAAATCATAATGAGGATATAGATAGGGCAAAGCACAGTGTGTTTTTAAATATCAAGTAATTTTGGCTTTCCTTGGTAGAAAAATATAATTTTTGCCAAAAAAAAAATAGGATTGTCCTAAATTTTCAAATTGTGTTGCTCTGTCAATTTTTTCCTAATGATATTTGTAATACTTTAATAGTCATGATTTTAAACAATTTCCAGTGCACTATGCTCATAATGTTAGGTGTGAACAATGGTTTGCTATATCGTAATATATGTACACTAAATAATACTTTAAATTACTAGTCTGCAAGTATAAAAAATTGCCCCAACCAGGATTCAAACTTTGGAATTGCTACTATGTGTGCGTGTATACATAGTTACCAACCGTCTCGCATCGTGATTTTGGATGAAACACGTATTTTGGAGAAACACATGTGATCAGAAATTTGCCACACATTTAGCACAAGTCTATGCGTGATAACGAATTATCACGAACTAATGGGAAAATGTATTTAAAATTAGAAGAAATTGGTTTTATTATAATATAAAAACGGCCATGCAGTAGCTTGAGTCATTAGAGAGCTTTTGTTTTCTCGTTCGAGAATCATACCAAGCAAAAACAACCCAGCCAACCATGCACTTAGTAGAAACTAGTAGTTGCGTGTGGTCTTCACGTACATTGTCACAAACAACCGTTGATTATGTGACTGACCCCAGTCCTCCAGGGTTCTGCCCCTCACCCTGGCACCCCACCCCCTTACCCAAACTGGAGTAGTCACACATTTCAAATCTCTCAGGTTGGTATGTGTATGTAAGATACGATAAGATAGTTTAATCAGATGTGTTAACAAAACTTACGATAATACACGTAAGATTGGTAAAAAGTTAAAACAGCAAATGAATTTAAACCAAACACTAAAGAGAAAAGTTGACCATAAAAAAAAATCTCAAAAGACAACAAAGACAAAACCTGGAATTTAAATTGGATAAGCAATTTTTTCTTACGCTACTTACTACAGTACTTTGTTTACTAATTTTCCATTACAAAATTATACAAATGCTTAATATTGCTATTAATTTATGGTGTATATACATTTAGTAAAATCTAGCTCTGTCCAGATCATCAAATTTTCTTACAAAAAAATTCCCAAAACTGGTGTATGCCCATAATCATGATTTGCCTATATTTGGTCATGATATGATGTCATTATGACCATATTTAGAAATGTCACATATTTTTGTCAAACAAAATTTCATAGTCTGGGAAGGGGTTTAAAATTGAAGCACTGAACTAATTACAGCCTTTCAACTACAAAATTCGTAAGTACATAACGGTCTATACAAAGAATATTAATAGAGATGGTAAATTCTAATGTAGACCTATGAGTCTACTTGGCAAGCAATATATTTCCTATTTTTCAATTGAGAGCTTGTAATTTGGATTTGGATTTATAAGGTTTAAACACCAGGATAGCCCACGAAAGTCTAGAAGAAGACTTATTCCAGTGGGGTCCTTCTGGTGGTGATTGGGCAGTACACCTGGAGACGATACTCTACTCTTTTCCGAAGAGTGTACTGCGTTCTTTAATGTGCACATGGGCCATAAATGCACACAGGACCAACGGCTTAAACATCTCATCTGAAAGACGGTGCGCTATTGTAACTTGTATTTCAGCCCTCCAGCTAAAACACAAGGAGAGGCAGCGATGGTAATTGAACCAGGGACCTAGAGATCTCCACGGTTCAGCGCACACACAGAGGCTACCACTAACTAATACATCATCAGGAATGATGATGACATAATTAATGTTGAAATATCGAATCCTAACACGATGGCATGCGTTTCAATACTTGGAGTATGTACTATACTTTCTTATCTCAGATTAATAAGTGGACCTCCCGGTTACCTAATACAAGTACGCAGTTGAATTTTATTTTTCCTTTTTGTTTAATGTTTAGTAAAATAAAATAGAACAATAGAGGCAGAATCTTACCATTTTGGTTAGGAAGTAAGACTTTTGGGATGACTGTTGGAGTAGTTGGAACTAGAGGTAAAAGACATTGATTTTCAAACTTACATTGAAAGATACCTAACTTTATTTCTAATTAATTTTTCTCCAACAGATTTTACGTTGACTTACTGATAGCTTGACCAGGCATCCCCGACAGCTGGGCCCAGGCCCAACTTTGCCATCCAATGGCACCACCCTGTGGTCTGAACATGGGCTGTGCATTGTAGATTAAATTTTAACAGCAAAGGGACTCAAGCCGCAGGGAATATGATATTCAAGAATCACACATAGGCATAACTTGGATTAAGTAAATTAGCCTAAGTGCCAAGACCAGGGTGGTGTTGAACCCATCGAATACAGATAAATCATTACCTATTAAATGATGTGATGGAATGCAATGTTAGTTAGAATGTAAAACAATACATTTTTGGGGGGCAAATTATGTAACCCTGCCTGAACTACAATATTTACATATAATATTGACTTACTTTGGTGAAATCAGCAAAAAAAAAGCTTATTAACAGGTTTCTTCCATAAAATATGAAAGGTTGGAGTAATGATGAATTAAGGTCAATGAATGGTAGCCTGTCACCAAGGAAACAAAAACTGACAAGGTACTATAGCTACTGCCAGACATAATACCTGTCTCTTATACACATCTAGATGTGTATAAGAGACAGCTATGGTCCTATGCCAATAATATTTTTTATTTATTTAATTAAGCTTGTAAATGGGTCATAGGGTGACTGGCAACTCCCCTTTAGTTTTTAGCAAACAAAAATGGTCACTCGTCTTATGTGTGTGCCTCTCGTGGTTAAACTCTGGTTAAACATACACCTTCTATCTTAAGGTTAACCTTTTATTTTCAGATGCTATCTAAGTGCGTCTAGCCTTCTAATTCCCAAAGAATCTAAAATGGGAGGGACCGCCCTCCTTCCTCTTGGTGCTTCGCACTTTACACTATTCACCCACCCCCACTTCCACTGCTAAATCTTAGATCCGCCACGGTCATTACGATGATACATACTTGTGTCAATAATTGATTATTTTTAACAATTTTAAACTACACTCTAGTCCTGCATAATTATATTATAGACCTATTATCAAATAATAGTTTATATATATTTCTTTACAATCTTAGTCTTATGCATTGGCTGTCTCTTATACACATCTAGATGTGTATAAGAGACAGGGTTGGGACCCATTGATCATTTCTTCCAGCTTGACATCTCCTTCCATCACGTTACTCGACATCTGCTTTGCTGTCCTTCCATGCTCAAACTTCTTGATTTCCCACTTCTGTTTTTTCCCTTTGCTTTGTGCCTTTCATGTAAACTCACTCTCAATCCTGCCATATCCTCTCCTACAGACATTAGAACCACTCTCTCTATGTAGGCCCCCAAGTTTAAATTAACCCTTGTATATATTGTATTGTATTTATTATTAATGTTTGGCAGTTAATAGCTCTTGATGGCTGATGAAGCATAACAAATTGAATTGAATTAAATTTTATTTAATCAGTGGCAAACACAGGGGGTGCTCTGTAGGTACCTATCTGATGAAGCCTAAAAACATTTGGTCTTGCCCTAGAAACAAGGCCTGCTAACCTACCAGGCCTATTTATGGATATTATATAGAGATTTAGTCTACCTAACTTTCAATTAAATAAAATTAAAAACACTGTTTTTTGTTTGACCATGGCTTGACATCGTAAACATTACTTTTGTATGAAAGCACATTCTTCAGATCTAGGCTAGGCAGCATCAGCAAGATCTTTCTTAATAATAATAATAATAATAATATTGGGATATTTAAAATGAAATAATAGCCTATACAAGCATAATAGGCTGTAACAAAAAATGAGAAGGGGAAAACCTTGAATATTGATATTGCTTTGTTCGATGAGGACTATAGGCTAAATTATTAGTTTTCAAATAAAATCATAATGATATCAATTTGAAAGCTATATTATTTAGCTTTCAAATTAAAATCAGAATGATTTTTGGCCACAAAATGAAAGAATGTGTATCTTTTAACACTACATATTTACAGCTAACCCCTTCACAGGGACTAACACCCCTATTAAGGGGACACTTTTTTTTTTATTTCGAAGGTGTCTCCTTAATAATAATAATAGAATTTATATTATTAAACAATAATTGTGGTTTAATAATGATAATATTAAAAAATAGCAATACAGTAGTATTCAATAAGAGCAGTGGTTACCTTTATCCTTTTCTGAGCCTTTACGTTCTTCAAGAACTAAGCTTGATGAAGGAGGTGAAAATTTGACGTTATTGATGATAATGCACAAACCATGTGGCTTGCAGTCCATCTTGTATTTCCCGATCAACACTAGTGAGAATAAACTTTAATAATAAGTATTTTATGTATATCCAACTTTTTTAGGGGATCCTTGTTCATACTGACAGAAAAAAAGGTTGTAGGTGAATAACCATAACTTACAGCCCTGACAGGGTCATTCAGCTTGGCTTCGAGGATGTAGCTACTAGCTGGTGTGTGACCATAAGCGTGTTAAAATGGTGGTTTATTGTCTAAAATAATTCAAATTTCAAAATAGGTATATCTGAAGAAAATTAGACATTTTTGGGGGTAAATGAGCATCTGTTAGAGGGTTTTGTACTCCCTCTTTATGAGCGACACTACAGTATCATGTCACTTTGACCTGCACTTCGACCATCCACATTCACTGAGTGACATCGATTCAAGTTATTTTCTACTTTTATGTGAAAAGGTGTCTGTATCGCAAACATGTTTAGACCCCTTTACCCAGATACATTTTAAGTTACACAGACTATACAAAGAATTGCATCTTGCTTTATACAGGAAAGTCATAAATATATGGATCATTGTAATGCACTAGATAAGAGGTTTTCAATATTCTAGTTGTTTCTTGTTTCTTTTTGCATATTTTATACACGGTTTGCTCACAATTCTAATATATTTTATTATTTTAAGTTACAAATACAGAGAAGTTCTTGGTTCAACACTGGAGGTGAGATACGATTTATCCCATCTGAGAATGTGCAGCACTTGCCTAAAGACTCATTAGAATAGTGCACCAACCATAGTCCTGCTGGGCGAGATCATGTCCTTGTCTAACACATCTAATTTTACTGTACAATTATAATACAGTAAAAACATGCAAATATCATCTCTGCACCTCTATTCCATCAAACAGCAAGACTTAATCACCAAGCTCAACAATGCACAGTAAAGGAAAAAATAAAGACATACCTTCCTGCTGGTACTTCAATACTACACCTGCAAACAATTTTCTGTTTAGATGTTCAAAAATTGTATTCAGGTACTCTACATCGTTAGGTGCTATGATACCCTGCTGTTCAAGAGCATACATCATTTGTATTGGCTTTTGCATGTCTGCAATTTTGCGGTAAGTTAACTTTGATTTCAATGTTGACTCCTTTAACTCCTTTAACTCATTATCACTTATAACATTTGTCAATTCCAGCACCATTCTCCTAATAACAAATAACATATACAGATTTTTATTATTACAGAACATATATAAAAATACGTAAAATCTATGAGTTGATTAAAAAAAACATTAGTATATTAGGTTTAAACTCTTGTTTAGATTATTATTCTCTGTTTAATAAAACTTTTCATCTAGATAGTTATTTTGAATAAAAATAGAGATCAAACTAAACTTTTATATAGAATAGGTTTATTAAATTTACAATTCACACAAGAAAAATTGATTAAGAAAATATGAGAGAAACATATATATTATTTTATATATCAATATGTATCAAAAATATATCAACAATATCAGAAATTATTATGTATTTTCCTTTCTAAAAGGTAAGTTTTTTGTTTAATTTACTAGTAAATGTTTTCTATGCGAATGAAGTTTGTAATATTTTAATAGGGCCTGGATGCCTAACAAATCATTTTTAATGACAGTCCAGTCAGTCAATTTTCAAACAGAAGGGTGTCAGGTCGTCAATCACCAAGATCAGAGATCATTTGTAGGGCGACGGGTGTAGGACTGTCCTCAAAGCTTAAAACAAAAGTAAGTAAACCATATAATTGACTCTTACTGTTTTTAACTCATCACAAACAAAATATTTTTATTAACAGATTGTTCCAATATACCGAATTAGACCTTAGATGAGGTCTTCAAAATTTGGCCGATTGAGTATTAAAAATTGTTTACATCGTAAACTCCTACTATGCTAATGCATTGAGTGGAGTCGAAAGTGGTGTCTATTAAATCGTCTAAAATGTAATGAAGTTAGCGTAGAAGATACTTTTTATAACAATGTACACATTTTGAATGATTCATAGATTCATGAGATTAACTACAGTAGTTGATTTGATTTAAATTTTCATTCAGACTAAAAGTATGAAGAATTTTGAGAGGCTTCTAGGGGGCCCAGGCCCGTCGCTGGCAGAACTCTCCAAATCCAGCGCTGACTAAGGTGATCGCTTTTGATTAGAGGTACATATTCAGCTTAAATACTGTCACCAAGTCATTTTGTTGCAATTTCTGTATGAAATATTTAAACTTGGACAAACCTAAATTGCAGAATTGTAGAATAAGATGTTTCTCTTGACTACGATGGTCAATGAGTCAGAAAAACCTTATTTGTATGACTCTCTAGTCTAGGGCTGGGCCCGTGTTCACGCGAGGAGGCTATGCAGAAATGTTCAAGTTTTCCATTTGTTTCTTTCATCACTCCATTTCAAAACTAGCAGGCCAATCTGTGCTGTTTATTAAACAAATATTTACCAAGCCTTTTCCATAAGTTATTTTAAGATAAAATGTACAAATAAAAAGTTTGAGGAGTTTAAAGACTCAAAATTACTCGAGTGTAAGCTTATTATTCTGTGGAGAAACTGCCACCTAGCTGTTTGTTTTGATGTTATACCCACTATATAGGCTTTGGTTTGGTGATTAATTCGGTTTATTAAATATGTACCCAATAGAACACACCTGTAAGGGGATATTATCCTCTTTTTCTCTTCTAGATTATCACATTTTCCTTCTACTTTGCATTGTAAATCAGGACGTCGTATGAGATCCATGAGTTCGATGAGTAGATCCAATTTCTTGTTAGAAAGATGCAAGAGTTTTTCCAAATTTGAAAAAATATCAAGACCATTTTTACAAGATTCTAGCGTTCCAAATTGGAGTCCAATAGATTCATCAAGGCATAAGAACTTGAGAGTGTTCAGTTCTTGATCTTCAAGTGCACGATGGATTTGAAGTTGGAGTTTTCTATAGTCATCTTCAGTTAATTCTACTTTAGGCCTTTTTTCCACCAGATCTGCCATCATTGACACTAGTAGTCATATCAAAGACAAAGCGTTATTTTTCTGCAGTCTTTATTTTGTTAACAAACTCTCAGGTTCACGTTTTGGCGCTAATGCACTTTCGTACCTAACATTTAATTCTTAATTTTTTTACCTCAATGTTCTTCTCACAGTCAGAACATTATCAAACATGTTCACATGATTCAACCACTCACAAAGTACCTTTTTAACAAATAAGTACAGCAAATCTGTGCTCGCTAGCACGACGAGCTACTGCCATTTTGCAATTAGTAAGAAATAGCCGGAATGTCAGAGTTTACAGTGTGAAGTTTTATGTAATTATACATTTATAAAAACATATCTATTTGCATTCGTATGTCATTTCAGGTATGCGTTATATTGTATGGTGTTTGATTATGTGACATGAAATTCACAATCCATGTACAATATTATTACTTTAAAAAGATTAGTAATGATTTAAATGCATACACAGACATTAATAGGGCCTAGGCCAATTTAATGGCATAATCTAGCAGAACAACTACAGTACCAAAGCTAATGCTAAAAGGTGGTTTGATGAACCTCGATTACAACAAGAAAGTTGAACAAAAAGATGGTACTGCATGATGCCACATTTGTTGTCGAAAATTATGATTCACTGTCCTTAGTTTAGTAATTGTTTCGAAATTTAAGAATTGACTCGGACATTCTGGCAATTTCTTACTGATTGCAAAATAGAGAGAGCTTGGTGGTGAAAGCAAGCATGGAAATGCTGTATCAACCTTTATTTATAAAGGTATTTTTTCGTTGGAAAATGTACTTTTTGTGAGTGGTTGAATCATGTAAAAATGTTTTATAATTATATGTTGTGGCTGTGAGAAGAACATTGAGGTAAAAAAATTAAGAATTAAAAGTTTGGTGCAAAAGTGCATTAGCGCCAATTTTTTTAGCACCATTAATGAATTGCCCGGTTTGGATCTGGATATAGAGGACTTTAGTCCTGCATCCAAAGGACCAGTACATCACCTATATGTAAGCATGGAGGAAATATGTAAGTAAAGCCTAAAGGCAACAATATAAAACAACAATAAATTGCATTTTGGCCTAGGCATAGTTCGGCTTTGCATTCAAATTTTCTAATTGATAGTTCGTAAAATACCATGGCAGCACACAGTAAATTTGGGACCGAGTTTACTTGGTGCCGAGTTGACTTAGGGTCGGGCCCGAGTGACTCGAATTCGGAGTCCTTTTTGAGCCGCACCCACCACCTATGTGAAGGCTCCAGAGGACCTTGATTTATCCCGATCAAATTGTAAAGTATTTTTTTGAGACAGTATCTCGATATATTCTTTCAGGCCTAGGCCTATAATGCAAATTTCATTATGTCTACTAACCAATTCAATTATTTATGCCACAAAATTACGCTCTTCTGGTTTCTGCAACCTTCAGTCAAAACCTCCTTCCTTGCCCAAACAAAAAAGAAAAGGCCTAGGCCTAGGCAAAAGCCGCAAAACAAAGAATCGGTGGTGTTTGTTGGGAAATTCCCCAATTATTGTTAACGTTAAGGGCGGTATTAAATAATCGTATGCAGAGCCGTAGATAGAGAGAGTTTGGCCAACTCGGTTTCAATCACGTGACTTACACCGGCCATGTTGTCACCAAAACAAAACAACGCGATAGGGTAGGAAGTTAGCAGTTATTATAGATGATTAAT